TCCGAGTCCACCCAGAAGGCAGAGAAGGAGGTGACGCGCATGGTGATGGTGATGATCCTGGCATACTGCCTCTGCTGGGGGCCCTATACTTTCTTTGCCTGCTTCGCTGCTGCCCACCCTGGTTACGCCTTCCACCCTCTGGTGGCTGCACTGCCAGCCTACTTTGCCAAAAGTGCCACTATCTACAATCCCATTATCTACGTCTTTATGAACCGGCAGGTAAGTCACACCATCGACACAGCGAACTAGAAATAAACCATGGAAGAGCCCCATGATGTCTCCCACTTGGAATAGTGTCTGGTCTCCAGAACAATAACCGGATAAGGCTCAGCACGTGACCCCAACCCCAGGCAGCCTTCCTTCTGGATCCTTTTATGGTCTGTCTCTGCCTGAAGGTGGGCATTGCCTGCAGGGCCTGTGTACTGTGGCTCTCATCCTTTCTGTTGGCTTGAGGGCTAGCCTAGAGCTGGAACACCGGAGGACTGCCTGGACATGGCTACATTTTTCTTAGGTATGCACTTCCTGCCATTATTGGCGCAACTCTTCTCTCAACCTTCATCTTTCCATCTTCAAACTCTAATTCTGACAGGACATAAAAGAGGCCCTTCTTCTTGCCAAAACCGGTTTGGCTCAGTGGATAAAGCGTCGGCCTGCGGACTGAAAGGTCCCGGGTTCGATTCCGGGCAAGGGCATGTACCTTGGTTGCGGGCACATACCCAGTGGGGGGTGTGCAAGAGGCAGCTGACTGATGTCTCTCTCTCTCATCGATGTTTCTAGCTCTCTATCCCTCTCTCTTCCTCTTTGTAAAAACTCAATAAAATATATATATATTTTTAAAGAGGCCCTTCTTGGCTGCACTGACCTGTGGCTCTTGTGGCTTTATAGATTAGTTTAGGGTGGACACACTGTAGTCCCACCCAAAGTCTCCCTAGATGGCAGCCAGCATGGACTGGCATACTGGGCCTTCAGAGCAAACAGCCCATGACTCCTAGACTTTTATTTTAAGATATATGTTATTGATTTTTTTTTTTTACAGAGAGGAAGGGAGAAGGAGAGAGAGCCAGAAACATCGATGAGAGAGAAACATCAATCAGCTGCCTCCTGCACACCCCCTACTGGAGATATACCCACAACCAGGGTACATGCCCTTGACCGAAATGGAACTTGAGATCCTTGACTCTGCAGGCTGATGCTCTATCCACTGAGCCATACCGGCCAGGGTGACTCCTAGACTTCTTGATAGATACAGGTGACTATTGAGGCTCATCATCTTCCAAGTGCAATTTGCCTTATTCTTCCTTGAATCCATCACACCCACTTCATTAGGGTGCATCTATAATGTGACTTGGTGACCAGGAAGGTCTTGGGTCAGAAATACTGCCCCTCAGAGACCTCCGGTTGCACCACACACAGCCTACTCCTTCCAACTGGTTTTCCTCTGCTCGTCCATTTCACAGTTGCTCCATGGCTGTGCTCCCTCCTGCCTGGCCTTGAGCTCCTTAAGCATGCATACTTTGGGTAATGTTTACATATTCAGTAGCCCGGCCAGCATGGGCTAGTGAATATTTAAACATTTCCAAAGGAATGCATGCTGAGGGAACCAGGAGGTCACAGTTCAATTCCCGGTCACGACCCACAACGTGGGGCATGCAGGAGGCAGTCGATTGATGATTCTCATCATTGATGTTTCTATCTCTCTTTCCTTCTCCCTTCCTCTCTGAAATCATAGAATGTTTTAAAATAAGTAAATATTCAGTAGCACAATTGATTTACCAGGGTTCCATTCCTGGCACCTCAATACCCAGAGGACAGTTCAATCCCAGATCCCTGTTTCCTGTCTTTCGTGCGGGTCTCTTTTCAGGCCTGGCTTTTGTTTGTGGAATCCTAGGCTAGCTTGACAGGTACTGTCTTTGCTTGAGTCTTTCCGTTCTCCCCCCTCCTAGACAGATGTCACACTTCTGGACCTCTCCAGGCTTTCAAACTTTCTTTCACCTTTTCACACTGTTACCCCTTCCTATTGCATTCTGAGAGAACTTTCTGGAATGGAACTCCATGAGGACATACATGATGAAACCCTTAGGTCACAGTCTGGCACAGAATGGGTGCTCAGTGGGTAGACGTTAAGTGAATGTGTTGAATGAATTCTTGGCCTCATCTGCCAGCTCTTCAGCTGAGTTGATTCTGCTGTTCAGCCCATTTCTTATGTTATCTGTGTCAACAATTACGTTTTTCATTTTTTGAGAGTTCTGGTGTTGGAGGAAGCTGGAGGTAATCAAGAATAGGCTAGCTGGTTTGGCTCATCGGCCTATGGACTGAAGGGTCCCGGGTTCGATTCCCGGTCAAGGGCACATGCCTGGGTTTTGGGCTAGATCTCCAGTAGGGAGTGTGCAGGAGGCAGCTGATCAATGATCCTCTCTCATCATTGATGTTTCTATTTCTCTCTCCCTCTCCCTTCTCTGAGATCAATAAAATTATATATTTTTTAATACATTTTATTGATTTTTTTTTTTTTACAGAGAGGAAGGGAGAGGGACAGAGAGCTAGAAACATCAATGAGAGAGAAACATCGACCAGCTGCCTCCTGCACACCCCTCACCAGGGATGTGCCCGCAACCAATGCACATGCCCTTGACCGGAATCAACCTGGGACCCTTCAGTCCGCAGACCAATGCTCTATCCACTGAGCCAAACCGGTTTTGGCATAAAATTATATTTTAAAAGAAAGAATAAGTGCCGAAACCGGTTTGGCTCAATGGATAGAGCGTCGGCTTGGGGACTGAAGGGTCCCGGGTTCGATTCCGGTCAAGGGCATGTACCTTGGTTGCGGGCATATCCCCAGTAGGGGGTGTGCAAGAGGTAGCTGATCGATGACTCTCTCTCATCGATGTTTCTAACTATCTCTCTCCCTCTCTATCTGTACAAAATCAATAAAATATATATTTTTTTAAAAAGAAAGAAAGAATAAGCTTAGAATATATAGGGATGCATCATATCTGTGTTCTCAAAGCATTTTGGTTAGCTGTGATGATCTGAGATATAACCTGAGAAATAAATACGGCCCAGATCTCTTTAGGGATCAAGCAGCAAAGAGCAGGGCCTTCCTGGTGACAGAAGACTCTCTTGGCTAAAGAGACCAGGTTGTGGCTACACTGTTGTTTACCTAGTCCTCACCTGGCCTCAAATTGATGGAATAGAGCCAAGCCGCATGGCTCAGTGGTTGAACATCAACCTATGAACCAAGAGGTCACAGTTCAATTCCCAGACAGGGCACATGCCCGGGTTGGGGACTTGGTCCCTAATGTGGGGCATGCAGGAGGCAACTGATCCATGATTCTCGCTCATCGATGATATTCTCTCTCTCCCTGTCTGAAATCAATAAAAATATATTTTAAAAATTGATGGAATAGAAACAAGATGGCAAACACATCCCCTTTCACTAAAATGCCTCTTACCAGACATTCTGGAGACAGGTCACTCTATGTATGCATGGGCCCCTTAGCTGGCATCATCTTTGATCACTGCATGAGTTCCCTGGGGTGCCATGACGAACTACCACAGATTGGGTGGTGGTAAGTAACAGAAACATAGGGTCTCCTAGTTCTGGAGGCCAGAAGTCTGAGATCAAGATGTCAGCAGGGCTAGCTTCTGCTAAGAGCTCTGGGGGAAATCTCTTCTACCTTCTGGTGAGTACTTGCTATTCCTTGGTTTGTAGATGAGTCACCCTGATCTCTACCTTCACCTTCACATGGCCATCTTCCCTCTATGCCTGTGTGTCTGTGTCCAAATTCCCTCCTACTTACTAGGACACCAGTCATTGCATTAGGGCCCACTCTACTCCAGCTTGACCTCATGGGAATGTATATCTTTTTTTCAAATATATTTTAAATGGATTTTTAGAGATAGAGAGGAAGGGAGAGGGAGAGAGAGAGAAACATCAATGAGAGAGAAAGTCATCGACTGGTTGCCTCCTGCACGGCCCCCATTGGGGATCAAGCCCCCAATCCGGGCATGTGCCCTGACTGGGAATCAAACCAGCGACCCCTTGGTTCCTGGGTCGGCACTCAACCACTGAGCCACACAAGCCTTGTGTAATGTATATCTTAACCACATCTGCAAAGACTATTTCCAAATATGGTCACATTCATAGACCCCAAGCATTAGGACTTAAACATACCTTTTGGGGGGCCATTATGTGACCCAAATAGTCACCATCAGCTTCTAAATTAGATGACTTAGATGACCAGACCATCCCCTCGTGCGAGGAACAACCTGAGTCTTCCTCCATTCACTTGTAGAATTGTGAATGATAGGAGAAAAGGTGTTGAGTCATCCAGGTGACACTTAATGAATACCTTCCTCTGAATGCCCTATGCATCCCCCTTAGCATAGTGCTAAATAACCCTTCCTGCTCGGCTGAATAACACTTTCTGTCCTGCCAGTTTCGAAACTGCATCTTGCAACTTTTTGGGAAGAAGGTAGATGATAGCTCTGAACTCTCCAGCACCTCCAAAACAGAGGCCTCGTCTGTCTCTTCGGTGTCACCTGCATGAGTCTCTCCCAGCCCCAACCACAAAGAGATCTGCCTCCTGCCAGAAAACGTCACCCCTGTCCCACTCACCAGGGCTTTGACCATCACCGCCACCATCCCTTCTTCTCCATCCCTGTGAAGAAAATGTAACTTCTCTTTGCCGGAAACAACCAAGTCACAGAGGGGGGCCCTGAGCCCCCGGATGTTCAGTCCCTGGGTCACTAGAGGGCACGAGGGGTTTATAGAGGAGTGCAGCACTGTACTTCTGGAGACTTTAATCTTTTCCAAAGTCTGCAGATGGTAAGGAAGGATTGTGTGAAAGGGAACTGCGGGCTGGGTGGGCACCCACACACCTCTTACGGGCCTGGTGTTGACAAAATCTGAAAGCCAGATCTAAGAAGTGGCCTCCTGGGGAGGGCTGGCTGGATGCCCTGATGCCTGGAAAAGAGAGGAGCTAGCCCACCCACACCCTTTAAGGCCCGTCTGGTAGAGGCTTGGCATCCTTGGAATACAGTCTCCATGTGGAGGCAACCCAGACCTGCCAGTCCATGGCAGAAATGGCATGCCAATTCTGCCAGGCCAGGATCCCAACCCCGACCAGCACGATCACGGTGCACATGCGCAGGCGCGACTTCAACAGTGTCAATGGAAAGGCACACCCGGTTGAGAAGAAGACCAAGAAGATGGTGGCCAGCATGAGGAGCAGGTTCAGAAATCGGAACACAAACTTCCGGGGACGGTGTCTGAGGTTCTCTGTCATCTTTGCTTGCGTCACTTGCTGTAGAGTTTCCAGCTTGGATATGCGACACTGGAACATTTCCATGACCTCCTGCAGGTGATAAAAACACAGGCCCTTGCCAGAGGTCAGAAGGAAGGTGCGGACATTGACCTGAGTGCCTAAGGGTTGCACAGCAGGAGTTGGTGAGCTGAAGATTTAGGAGGGAAGCTGAGAGCCTAGAGCCTATACTGGGAGGGTCCATGTTTCCCAGTAACAGTGAAGGTCTCATCTGACTTGACCCTCATCCAGCGTGGTCTGAGAGGTGTAAGGTCTGAGCAAGGTCAGGTGTAAGGTCTGAGGGTGTGGAAGAGAGTAAGACTATCTGTCTCAGGAGAGGGGGATCCATCACCCATGCTTGCCGCTCCAGGGTCAAAAGCAGGGGTTCCCAGCTGGTGTTCCCTGCACCCCCAGCAGCTCCTGGGTACAAATCAGCCCCCTTTACAGGTGGCTCTGGGCTCAAGGGTAAGAACTGCAATGCCCAAGTTCCCAGATCAGTTAAGGTGGGGGGAGAGGGGAAGTGGAGTATGAACATAAAGATTGGGCCCTGCCAGGTCTAAAACAAATGTGGTGGTTGCCATTGAACCCTCAGTTGGGGTACAGCTTGAATATCTGTCTCTTTCCCTGGTTTGGATGTTGCCAGAACAGATTCTCTCATCCTTGGCTTCTCTCTTCCCTGCATCCTTCTCACTGGCCCTTTCTCAAAAAGCTCCCCCGGGAGAAACTCACCCATATTTCCTTGGCTTTTTTGTAGGAAAGATAGGCCATTTTCTCTTCAGCATAGGACAGATTCTGTTTGAGGCAGTAAATTTCATCCAGGTGCCGCTGCAGGTGTTTGTTCACCAGTTCTGCCATTAGTGATTGCCTTGAGAGCAAAAGAGAAAGTAATACACCCTGAGTACCCCGCCCAGAGCTTGTGCTGGCAACGAATGGTCCTCCATCCAGACTAGACTTGGGTGTTCACTTCGGCAGCACGCCTATCATAATAAAAGTGTAATATGCTAATTAGACCAGACAGCCGGACGACCTTCCGGACATCCTTCCAGACGACCTTCTGGATGAAGCTGTGGCTGCGAGGGCTGAGGGCCCAGCCCCTTGCATGAATTTCATGCATCGGGCCTCTAGTATACTAAAATTGGAATTATACAGAGGAGATCTGCATGGCCCCTGTGCAAGGATGACACGCAAATTCATGAACCATTCCCTATATTTTTTAAAAAAGACTAGACTTGGGTTTAGGATCTGCTTTCCTCTTCTGGCCCTCAGCGCCAGTCAAACCCAGCCTACTCTTCCAGGTCTGCGCCTCAGCCACACCCACGCCGACAGTCACGTTATCTCCTATATACCATCCCCCTTTTGTAACGGCTTTGCCAAAATAGAGATAGAGTAGACGTTGTAGAAATCAAGATCTAAATTATCCCCGTATGCTATTAAATTCCATATGTATTCCCAGCGCCAGTGTTTGGCATGCAGTAGTTATTCCATAAAAATCTGTGGGTTCTAGAGATGGAGCAGCCACGAAAGACAACATAGTATATGCTTCTATTTATATGAAATGTCCAGAATAAACCAATCCAGAAAAAACGGATAGAGAATAGTGGTTGCCAGAGCTGAAAAAGGGGAAGGTGCGGAGTGACTACTAATGGGGGACTCTTTGGAGTGATGACAATGTTATGGTCTGTAATGAGATAGTGGTGATGGCTGCACAATTCTGTGACTATATAAAGACTACTCAAGTGTACACTTTAAATGGATGCATTTTATGGTATGTGAATTATATCTCAATAAAGCTATTATTAAAGCAAATAAGTAGAGGATTGTGGTCATGGTTGCACAACTCAGTAAATTTACTAAACATCATAAAAATGTACAGTTAAGACAGTGAATTTTATGGCACGTAAACTATATCTCAGTGGATCGTTAAAAACATATAAACGAGCCCGGCAGGTGTGGCTCAGCGGTTGAGCACTGACCTATGAACAGGGAGATCATGGTTTGATTCCCAGTCAGAGCACATGCCTGGGTTGTGGGCTTGATCCCCAGTGTGGGACATGCAGGAGGCAGCTGATCAATGATTCTCTCTCATTGTTGATGTTTCTATCTCTCTCTCCCTCTCCCTTCCTCTTTGCAATCAATAAAAATACATTATATATACATATACATATACATATACATATACATATACATATACATATTAGGATACATATATATGTATCCTCGTATATATATTATAAGATTTGAGGCAAAAATGCTAAATGTGAAAATTTGAGAAAGATCAGAGGTAGGTATACAGTGTCGATCATGTTATTCTCAAATTTCCCCTGGGTTTGGAATGTTTCATCGTTTAAAAAAATCTCTGAGGTTCTTCATTTGGGCAACAGGAAGGACAAGGGGCTTCTAGAACTTTCTTTTAGGGAATAGCCGAGAAAGGCTTGACCCAAGGCAGGGGCAGTAACACTGGAGAAGAGGAAAGGTACCAGAGAGCGCTGGAGTCCAGGGCAATGAAGGACCTGCACAAGAACATAACCAATGGTGCTGTCATCTGGACAGGGAATGTGAGGCAAGGAGGCAATTTGGTCCTATTTTGAGAACTTCACTGACACCTACGTGTAGACATCCCCCAGGCAGCTAATAAGCTGAACACTCATTTGTTGAAAGCCAAGTCATCAAGTGCTGATTCATAGCAGTGTTTCAAGGAACATTCCATTAGTCTCTGCCCTGCTTCCTGTTGAGAAGAGAGTGGGCTGAAGCATGGCTGAGGCTACTGCCCACAGAGAGGGAGAGAGGCAGGGTGTCCGCCCTGGAAGTACATACCCCATGATTATCTTTCCATTACCAGGAAAGATCCAGCCACAAGAACATTTAAGATATTAACTATATTCAAGTATGCTTTCATGAATATATTCTCCACGAATACGAAGGAAGTCAATGAATAGATTCTTCATTAATGTATTTCTAAGAATGTCTTAATATATTCTTGAATGTATTCTTGAATAATTTAGTGAATAAGAAGATGTTAGTTCATAAGGATATTCTCTCGGTCTCTCCTTCCCTTGCCCCCAGCCTCCTTACCCTCTGGCAGCAGTGCCCCGGCTCGGCACAGCTGCCTCTTTTCATTGTCTCTTTTTTAATCAAAGACCCCTCTCCATCCAGCTCCTACCATCACAGAGGCAAATGGAGCACTCTGAAAAGTCTTCTTTTTAAAAATATATATTTTATTGATTTTTTACAGAGAGGAAGGGAGAGGGATAGAGAGTTAGAAACACCGACCAGCTGCCTCCTGCACACTCCCCACTGGCGATGTGCCCACAACCAAGGTACATGCCCTTGACTGGAATCGAACCTGGGACCCTTCAGTCCACAGACCAACGCTCTATCCATTGAGCCAAACCAGCCAAGGCTGAAAAACTTTCTTATGAAGACAGAATGACGGACCAGTCAACCAAAATGTCCCCTAAATCTCCCAAAGCTGATAAGGCTGCCTTCTTCAATACAAATTATCCTAAACTGTATTGTTGTGAAAGATTATACTCTTTTTTAAAATACATATTTTTTATTGATTTCAGAGAGGGAGAGGGAGAGAGATATAGAAACATCAATGATGAGAGAGAATCACTGATCAGCTGCCTCCTGCATGGATGGAGCCTACAACCCAAGCATGTGCCCTTGACTGTAATGGAACCCAAGATCCTTCAGTCTGCAGGCTGGTGCTCTATCCACTGAGCCAAACCAGCTAGGGCCAAAAGATTATACTCCTGACTATACCTGAGGATTGGCTTTTGGGCAAATTGAGTCTGCAGCCTAGATGAGAAATCTAAGATAGAGAAACAGATGTGGGGGCAGGGCTCAAGCAATAGGGGTACGGCTGGGGAATGCGGCAGAGTGGGCAAAGCTCCTCCTGAGCATATGTGGACCCTAATTGCAATCACACATATCCTATAAGAGAGAGACCAGCCCTAACCGGTGTGGCTCAGTGGATAGAGCATAGGCCAGCGGACTCAAGGGTCCCAGGTTCGATTCCAGTCAAGGGCATGTACCTTGGCTGTGGGCACATCCCCAGTGGGGAGTGTACAGGAGGCAGCTGATTGATGTTTCTTTTTCATCGATGTTTCTAACTCTCTACCCCTCTACCTTCCTCTCTGTAAAAAATCAATAAAATATATTTTTTAAAGTTTTTTAAAAAGAAAAAAAATCAACCCACTGTGGGGAGATGGCATTCCCCAGGAGGCAGTCATTTTCAGAATAAATATCCCAGAAGTGACATTGTACCCCAGTTCAGCCATGAGCACACGTGAAGGGATCAGGGCTGTCGAGGCGACTCCAGTCCTGTCTACACACCATTCCAGCAGACAGGATGGCAAAGCGCCTCCCTAACTGGTGAGCGTCTGCTGGGGGCTATCTCCTGCCATTCCAGCTAGAGCCGCAGTTGCCAGACCGCCCAGAGGGGCCTAGAGCTGGAGCCTCACTGGCCAAGCGGGTGTGCAACTATAAACAGGGGATGAGCCCTCTTCACCGCGGGGGCCCAGGCACCAAGAGAACCACTGAGCTGCTCCTTCCCCCTCCTCAGCTCCCTTTCAGCTCTGGCAGACAGTCCTGGGGGCTGTCCCCAGAACCAAGGTGGCAGAAGGGGCTCCTCCTCACCTGCATTTCTCCTCCTGAAGGCACTCCAGCGACATCTGCAGGTCTGTGAGGTACATCTCCTTTAGGCTCTGATAGGACATCTGGAGGCCAAGGTGGACTTTCTGGGCTTCTTTGAGCTCTTCCTTCACCTTCTGCAATAGCAAGTTTGCCTTCGACTCTGGCAACCTTGCTGGTGACCTCTCCTGCTGTGAGGCCGGCAGCTGATTGTCCAGTGGGAGGGGCCTGCCAGATGAGGTAGTGGCTAAGTCATCTTTCCCACCTGGCTTGGAAGACTCTAGAAACGGGGCCTTCTCCCAGGGCTGCCGCCCATTGTCCGGGCTGCTCTCCTCCTCTGCCACTGAGCACTTGGGCTGGCAGCCCCTCTTCAGCTCCTGCAGCTGCTGGTGACACTGATGGAGCCTTCGCTCTATCTGGGCGATGGTGGCAGAGGCCCGCTGATTCACCTTCTCGAAGGCTTGGCGAATGTGCAGGGCCTGGCGCCTGTCGGCTTTAGATACCAGCTTGAGGTAGCTCTCAGTATTCTGGTCCCGGCTGGCTTTCTCCACTCTCAGCTGCTCTAAGAGGTAGAGGGTGCGGTGCTTGATGCTCTTTTGTAAGTTCCGGGCCATCTCGCCATGCAACAGGCTGAAGTGGCCGCGAAAGCCCTCCTTGCTGGGTGACAAGGATCTGGATCTGCACGAGGGAATGTTGGAGGGGAAGATTGCACGTGGACTCTTGGTGTATTCCTCCTGCATTGAGAAACAAATAAAAAAATCAGGCACCACTCCATAAGCTGCAAATGGTAGGAGAATTGAACACATGATTGCCTCACTCTATAAAAATACTTACATGTATGCAGAGATATTTATGTGTGTTAAGATTTATGCATTTGAGATGAGCCCAGCACAGACTAGAGAAGTCAGTTTCGTGTTCCGGACCCCTCTCCCCTCCTTTTCAGCACTGACTTCTTGCTTTATGGGTGTACCTCACAGCGAGGCCAGATGGCTAGAGTACTCCCTCCACACACACCCATTCTGTTCCTGGGATTCCTCTCTTTCAAGAATGACCAATTGTGCATCTCATTTTATTAAAAACTAATCTTGTCCTAGAAGGTTTGGCTCATTGGAGAGAGTGTCGGTCTGCAGTCTGAAGGGTCCCAGATTCAATTTCGACCAGGGCTTCGGGCTCAATCCCCAGTAAGGGGCACGCAGGAGGCAGCCAATTGGTGATTCTCTCTTATCATTGATGTTTCTATCTCTCTCTCCCTCTTCCTTCCTCTCTGAAATCAATAATATATATATATATATATATATATATATATATATATATATATATATATAAACTGTTCTTGTAAAGTAGGGAATAAACTCATTCCCATTAAGCCATACACCTTGCTGTATTGCTACTGCCGAGCAGACTGAAGGGGTAGCAGAGCCTTAGTGGGTTTGGGTTAGTGCAGTGGTCGGCAAACTCATTAATCAACAGAACGGCAAACTGAAGCCTGCAAGCCGCAGTGTCAGCCTACGGATTGAAGGATCTCGAATTCGATTCCAGTCAAGTGCATGTACCTCGGTTGCAGGCTTGGTCCCCAGCCCCAGTCAGGGCTTGCGAGCGTGCGGGAGGCAACCAATTGATGTTTCTTTCTCTGTCTCTTCCCCTCCCTTCCATTCTCTCTTAAAAAAAAAAACAACTAAAAAAAAAAAAACAATGGAAAAAAATATCCTCAGGTGAGGAGTAACAACAAAAAGGATAGTCGGAGAGCTTTGCAACTTAGCAGATTTTTATCCTTTATTCAGTCATTCATTCAACACATACTTCCTGATCGCCTACTGAGTGTTACAGAAGCCAGATACATTCCTTGTTCTCATAGAGCAAACATGTCAAACTCACAGCCCACGAATATTTTTGTGGCCCAGCCAATATAACGGTATGTAAGAAACCTTTTAATAAAAATTTAATAACTTAGCCGAAACTGGTTTGGCTCAGTGGTAGAGCGTTGGTCTGCGGACTGAAAGGTCCCGGGTTCGATTCCGGTCAGGGGCATGTACATTGGTTGCGGGCACATCCCCGTTGGGGGGTGTGCAGGAGGCGGCTGGTCGATGTTTCTCATTGACGTTTCTGGCTCTCTATCTCTCTCCCTTCCTCTCTGTAAAAAATCAATAAAATATATTTTTTAAAAAATTAATAACTTAATTTTATCACTGTAAATAAATATCAACAATATCCTATTATACGTAATTATTAATAACGACCTACAACGTTCGCTAATGACTGATGACTATAATCGTGGTGCATTCATTTCCCTTATGCACCTTACGCACAGGCGCACCATTTCTCTCCACTCATACCAGCAGCGAATATTTTAGCAGCCGATGGCCACGTCTTTAGTCCTGTACTAACTTGTTTGGTGTGCGCAACAGGAAATATTTCTCCTTCGGAAAACAAGAAATATAGGTTTATTTGCGTGACGCTTATTAATTTGTGCAGTTATTCAGTGTCTGGTAAGTGAATGTCCAAGAAAAAAGATTTTTATTAAAATGTTCTATTATTTTATATGAACAATGACTCATTTATTTCAGCCCTTTGTATTCAGCATGTCTCTATCAAAATAAACCTATGTTTCTATGAAAATGGAAGCTTTTGTTGTTTTGCGGCCCGCATACACTTCAACCTTGGTTCTGTGGCCCGTGTTAGCCTTTGAGTTTGACATGCTTGTCCTAGAGCTCATAGTTCAGAATGGAAAATTATATTGTGTCACAAATGAATCAGTCTCTCACATGGTGAAGGATGACAGAAAGAGTCTACTTCCCTGGGGCCTCTTGGGAGAGGTATGGGGGACATCTGTAATACCGTCAACAATATATATATATATATATATATATATATATATATATATATATTTTTTTTTTTTTTTTTTTAATTCGCTGACCTCTGCTTTCAACTATACTTGTATATACCATTGGTAAATGGAAGAACTAACTAATTATTTAATAGGAAATAGGGAAAATTAAAGTTTGCTGATGACTTGTTCTGCTGGGGAATTTTATAGATATCACATCAAACTCAAAATTGAGAGAAAAATGTTGGTGAAAAAAAATTAAAGGTGCCCTGGCCTATGTGCTCAGTGGTAGAGCATCAGCCCATGCAGAGAAGGGTTTCAGTTTCAAATCCTGGTCAAGGGCATGTACCTGGGTTGCAAGTTTGTTCCTAGGCCCTCTAGTTGAGACACATGCTGGATCTATCTCTCTCCTTCCTGCCCTCCACTCTTTCTAAAAAAATTTTGTTTTTTTTTTTAATTTAAAGGTAACCAGAAGAAAAGAAAAAAAAATTTAGGGTAATCACTTAGGAAAAGCCAGGTACATAACATCCAAATAAACAAGGGGACACATAAAGCCGAAACCGGTTTGGCTCAGTGGTAGAGCGTCGGTCTGCGGACTGAAAGGTCCCAGGTTCGATTCAGGTCAGGGGCATGTACATTGGTTGCGGGCATATCCCCGGTAGAGGGTGTGCAAGAGGCAGCTGGTCGATGTTTCTCTCTCATTAACGTTTCTAGCTCTCTCTCTCTCTCTCTCTCCCTTCCTCTCTGTAAAAAATCAATAAAATATATTTAAAAATTGCCAAAACCGGTTTAGCTCAGTGGTAGAGCGTCGGTCTGCGGACTGAAAGGTCCCGGGTTCGATTCCGGTCAGTGGCATGTACCTTGGTGGCGGGCGCATCCCCGGAGAGGGGTGTGCAAGAGGCAGCTGGTCGATGTTTCTCTCTCATCGACGTTTCTAGCTCTCTATCTCTCTCCCTTCCTCTCTGTAAAAAATCAATAAAATATATTTTAAAAAATAATAATAATAAATAAAATAAAATATATTAAAAATAAATGAATAAAGGGGGACACATAAAATGGAACCTGATTATGGAAAAAAAAAAAAAAAAGGGAAAGGAAAGGAAAGGAGGAAGAAAAAGAAAGATTTTTGGTTAAACTGAAAATATAAAATAGAATGCCAGTAAGATGGATTATCAATGGCTATATGCCATGTACTTGAGGAGGAGACTCAATTCCATAAATATGTTAGGCCTCTATATATTGACCTATAAGTTCAAAAAAATCCCAATTAAGAACGCAACGGGCCCAGCCAATGTGGCTCAGTGGTTGTGTGTCAGCCTGCGGACTGAAAGGTCTATAAACCAGGAGGTCACGGTTTGATTCCCAGTCAGAGCACATGCCCGGGTTGTGGATTCGATGCGCAGCGTGGGGTGTGCAGAAGGCAGCCGATCAATGAGTCTTTCTCACCTTTGATGTTTCTCTCTCTTTTTCCTCCTCCCTTCCTCTCTGAAATCAATAAAAATATATTTTAAAAACACAATGGAAATTTCTTTTGGATCTTACAAATAGTTTTAAAAATTTATTTGGAAGAAAAAGTGCAAAAAAAAAGCTAAGAAAATTTTGCAAAAGAATAATAAATATGGTCTTGAGACAATTGGCTTTTTGAAAAATATTAAATTAGAGTGCTTCCTGATAATCTTATCTATAACAATAAAAGCGTAATATGCTAATTTAGATAGGAGGAACGTCTGAAAGGGTTTCCGTCTGGACAAAGCCATAGCAGGCCGCTTGCGGCAGTGGCAGCAGCAGCACAGGCCAAGGTCCTTGCAGGAATTTCCTTCATCAGGCCTCTAGTGTAAAGCTGAGACAGAATAAAGAACTAAGCATAAAAATTAAACTGTAAAAGTGCGAGGAGGACATGATAGGAATATTTTTATAATCTTTGTGTAGAGAAGATCTTTCTAAAGGACTCAAATCAAAATGCCACGAAGCAAAAGATTTACATATTTTACTGCATAAAAGTGTTTTAAAACAGTCTTATGAGGAGACAAAAAGCATAAAGTTAGATTTTTGGTTCAAACACTTGCTTCTTAAAAACAAAGTATATCTGTTAACATTTTTTTAATATATTTTATTGATTTTTCACAGAGAGGAAGAGAGAGGGATAGAGAGTTAGAAACATCGATGAGAGAGAATCATCGATCAGCTGGGGATGTGCCCGCAACCAAGGTCCCGGAATCGAACCCGGGACCCCCCAGTCCGCAGGCCGGCGTTCTATCCACTGAGCCAAACAGGTCCCGGCTCTGATAACATTTTTTTTTTAAAGCAACAGATTGAGGAGAAATTTTTGCTATATCTCTAGTAGATATAACAAAAAATCTTTACAAGTTAGGAAGCTACAGAGAAAGAATCCAATGTAAAAACTGTAAGGGATAGCAATAGACAATTTAGAAAGTGTAGATAGACCACGAACGGCAATAAACACACGAACAGCAATAAACGACTACAAGGAACTTGGGCAAACGTAAACCAAAGCATTTACTAAATACGATTTTCTCGTCCATCAGAATGTCACACATTAAAAGGCTAACCATAGTCAGCGTGGATGATATGAGGAAATGAACACTCGTGTATTTTGCAAATAGGAGCACACATAGGAGCAGGGTTTTTCTCGAGCAGTCAGAGGTATCGATGGAAAATATCAATGTCCTTTCACCGAGCAAGAACGTAATGGGCTTGCGATCTAGCCTCATTCAGGGACACGGGACCTCTCGGGGGCTCGGCAGTTTTCAAGATGGTTGCCAGTGGTTCAACTTAGGGTAGAGTGCTGTGGACATGGTGTGGCTGGGAGCAAGGCTCGGTCTTGGTAGCCCGTCTCCAAATCCGAGAGACATGCGGTCTCCAAGACCCGGTGTGACCTTCATACAGACGGGGACC